ATCTCTTAACCAACTGAGCCACTTGGACGGCCCCAACTTAATACTTTTTAACTCAGGCAATTTACTTCTACTCTCCAAGTCAGCTTTCTTATCTTTTAAATGAGTGCAGTACACACAGCATATCGTGTGATTGTGGTAATGAAAGAAATAATGTGTGGAAAACACTATCGTGCTTGGTACATATTACTCAGTAGATGTTAGTTGCTTTTATGTTTATAAATGTCATTTCAGGAGTTCAGTTTGGACATGGTAGGTGTGAGGTGATATTTTTATCTATAATGCTAAAATTTGTAAGGGTATAATGGTAGGACTGAAATTGAGATAAATAGATCCTTGGACTATATCTAAAGTATCAATTCTCAGTACCATAATAAAACAGTTACAATGTCAACATGGATATAACAAGAAGTGTAAGCACTATGGTAATAATTTAGCCTAGAACAGTGTTTCTTCAGCACTAATTGGCATGTTGATCTGGAAAAATATTGCCGGGAGCAGGGTGGGACTGGCCTGTGTACCGTAGGACACTTACCTGATTCCCACTAGATGTCCACCAAGTGGTAACAACCAAAAATGTCTCCAGGCACTGCCAAATGTCCCTTGGAGGGCAAAACTCTCCTGATTGCGAATTACTGAAGTAGAGAGAATAGGTAGGCTTCTTCGTGTATATAAAGAAGTTTTAGCGGACAGAAGGAATTGACGGACTCAGTGTAGCCTGGAAATCAGAAGCAACACTGACTGATAAGATGAAAACAACTTAGAAGATTTTCATAGTTCGAACTAGCTGAAACTCGAGTGCACTGGCTCGGAAGGCAGCTAGCTTCTCAGCTGTGAGTGTTTAATTAGGGGCTGAATCACTATCAGAATTGTGCTGTGAATTTCTTTTCTGAGAGAAAGTTTGAGCGACATAATCTCTTAGATCTTTTTTAATGATAAGATGCACTCATTTTGGCAGGTCTTAATGGTACAGATTTGCAAATCATTCCAAGTGAGATCATAGTTGAAGCCATGAAAATATCTTCTCTCTTTGAGAAGAGAACAGCATGGTTGTTGTGAATGGAGTTTTGAGGAATGTCGAAATTGAAAAGAGGGAACCTG